TACAAATACCTTTATTGTCTCTGGTTTAGTGACCCACTGTCATAATGGTAGTAGGATTGAGCTGGTTGTATGCTTTGGGCCATCTGAAATCTCTGATGTTTAAGGAAGTCTTGTGGGGCAAAATAATGGAAGAATATAAAGCTAAAAGATACTGTTGAACCACGAGGTGTGTTGTAATCTGGAGTATAATGTTGCTGTATTACTCCAATTTGAAAAACATAAATTTGGAAGCTAGTAACAGGAAGGGACTCTGGAAATACTTAAAATAAGAACATACTGTGCAATAGGCAAGAACCTTTATTCTCTTGAGAAATAATCAGGTGTTTTGGTAGCTATTGGAACTGCTTATGAAATCTGAGAATGTTTTTTCATGTCAGGATTAGATTAGCAAGCTTTTTTCCAATTACCTTGGTAAAGCCAAAATTTAGTGCAAATCTTATACTTTAATAGATATATCTAATTGCAAGCAGCAAACTCCCATTTTTATAATATTTTAGAGAGCTTTATTTCATAGTATTTATTTTCAAGATAACATTTATTTTAAATTTTGGAATCTATATGTATTTTGAGTTTTGAAAAAAATATTCCTAATTAATGCTTAAATAGGTAGGTCTGTCTACCTACTTAAAAGGAAGAAGTGGAAGTTAGTGGTACTGGATGATGAAACACCTCGGGGGCTAGTCTCTTTCAAAACAAAAGACAATTCTGCAGTGTCAAAGTGTTGAAGTAGAAGTTGCCCTTCAATGAACTCATTCTGTTAATTGAAATCCTGTTTAAACTGAAAAAATGTATTTAGGTCACATCACGAATGTTAATGGAAAGCTATGGAGCCCTAGCTTCCCCCTCTCACCCCGTAGAGTAAAACTTCAAATAGCTGTGGTAAAGCCTGTTAATTTTTAAATATTCTGGCTGACCTGATATTTAATAACTGACAAAAATTTGTGGCTAAAAATGTATAGTGCTTTCCAAAATTATGCCTCTGTATACTGAGCTTTCAGGTAGTATATTTTTATAGGCATGGTAGGGAAAAATTATTTAATTTTTTTTCCTGAGTATTTTGTTACAAATTATGCATGTACACACACACATAACTGAATGGAGGTGTTAGGACATCTGTGCATACATCTATTTTACCGAGTCACTGTCAAAGCTGGTTTCATGCTCTGGGATATACTGAGATGTTTCTGAAAAGGACCATATGAGACAGAACATTTATCATGAGTCGTACTAATAAAAATAAATTGTATGTAGACATTTAGAGTATTTACATCTGAACAATACATAAGTATTTTTTTTCTGTTCTCATTAATAGATATGGCTTTTTGTCTTTTATGTATATCTGAGGCAATTGCATAAGTGAGAATGAGTACTAAGATTTAAAGTAGTAATAGTTAATGCTCATGTTCAAGAATGCTATTGTTTATTAAATCTTTTTTTCTTGTAATTCCATTAGCTATTCAAAGTAGAATATAAGAGTACTTGGAAAATTGTTCAGTAGGGGTTTTTTTGCTTCAAATAGTAAGGTCTTTTTTGTAAATAATGAAGATGAAACATTAAAATGTTCTGTTCCCTCCCCTGTGTTTAAATTTTAAATTTAAGTTAAACTAAGCATATTATTGATCTACCTCACTGGTAGATCAATAACGAAAGTGATTTTCTTTTGAGAACCTGGGTTACTGCAGAATTTCAAAGTCTGTCAGCGGGTGAGATTTAATTTAATCCCTTGAGTATTTAAGAAGCATTCCTGAGACGGTTGCCAAAAAGTGACAAGATTAGTACTTGCAGTTTATTGACAGGATGCCTCATAGGAAAGACATTTATCTGTAAGGGCATTGGTTTTTAAAAGGGACTAAAGTCTGTTTCTGGGATACACACATGTTAGGAAATACAGAATGAATTTTGGGGGCAGTTTCTTTTCAGAAAGTTCATGGCACAGGGACATAACAGTTTACAGAGTTAAGAATTAGATGTTGACAAAACTGCACAGTAAGTAATTTCCTAACAGATAAAAATATAAGTGCTCGAGGATTAAGAATGTCATAAGTTGAATTCAGTCATGCACAAAAGTCAGTCATTATTCAGCAAAAAAATTTTATCCTTGCATATATGCCTGTGCCTAAGTATATACTGGAGAGTGACAGAGGTTACCAGAGGGTTTGTTGTTCTTTCTGGGTTTAAAAAGCCCAGGAAAAACTAAATCATATCTTGTGTCCCAAGGTTTTAGCATGTGAGACTGCTCAATCTCTTTGTCTCCTGTAATCTTTTTGAGAGAACTCTTTGTGCTTAACTGGTCATAAAATCTTGTCTGCATTAGCAGATCTTTACTAATCCCTTGCCCATCCCAACAACCAAACAAATATTCTGCGGTACTGATTCTACTTTCACATACCCCAGTGTGGTCCTGTTCCCATCAAAGTATTTCCTTCAGATTTATATGGCACAAATAGAAGAATAATCAGATCCTTTCCTCTTATTTTATCTATGGACTACTCATTGAATGACTTATTTTAAAGCAGTTGTGATTCAATGGGGATGTTTTTAATTTGCTGCCTGTTCTCTTTACCTCTGAGGAAAGAATTTTGTAAATGCTGAATAATTTTAGAACATGTTTTCTTGGTTAAGGGTTGGATCATATTTTAAATTAGTTTTAAGAGGAAGGAAATCGTGTAAATGCTGTGGAATTCAGATAAGCACTGTGCATAGGAAATAAGTACTTTAATTTAGGGTGCCTAGAATTGGTAGGTCAAGCTGATGACAATAAAGGACCAGATCTTAACTTTGTTTCAAAGAACATGTAATCAATATGCACTCTCCTGTTTTATTTCCTTTTTGCTGGGGAATTTATTTTGGTGATGCTGAAATGTGCAATTGCTGAAGTGTTCCACAGGGTGTCATGAGGCAGTTGTTGGAATCGTTAATACTTGGATAAAAGTAAAGAAACAGAGTGTGCAGTCCTCTGAATGCCAGTTAATGTAATTTTAGATGTGACTAATACACATGCCATAAAATAAAAAGTTCTTAACTCATTAACACACGCATCGTATTTCTGTATCTGTATAAAATATGCACACGAAGAAGAATATTAGGAGAGGTGGTTTACAAAAGTGAACTATTCTATGTTAGGTCTTCCCAAAAAACCTTTCTCTATGTACCTTAGTATTGTATAGTTTACAGAGCAAGTGGAATCTTTGGCTGTAGCAGTAATTTGAAATACCAAACTATGTAGAAAGAAGAGAAAAACCTACAGTACTTGTATTTGCCATATAGGTATAAAGAATTTCTAATTGGAATGTGCTCCTCCAAACTGACTTTAAAATTTAATTTTACTTTTAATTTTTATTTAAGTTCTTTTAAAATTTAAACTTACTTGAACAAACTTTATACAGTGCGTACAGCTGTACTCTGGATTTTATGATTTGTTAATGATAAATATATATATAATGTCAAAATTTAACTTCAGGCTTTTTTTCCTGCACATGTGTGATATAGTACAAGGAGAATTTTTACCAATGTATGCCCCAAATTAAAGCGTGTTTGATTATGGTGATACGTTTTTATATATGGTGGCTGAATTTTTATTGACAAAAGTGTTGACTTTTGCAGAGCTGCACATGCACTGAGTCCGGCTTCAAGTTTCTAAAGAATCTTTAAATGCAGTTAGTAGTAACTATGAAGGATCCTGCTTCTGTCAAAATCTGAATTTCTTTAAATGGAAATGATATTGGCCATGAGAAAAATGACATTAAGTTATGAAATAAACAGCAAAACTTCATTTCGGTAGCAACAGAACGTGATCCAAAGTGTAAAATCACTGATGAAAGTAAGAATTTGAATCTCTGTTGACAGCAATAATTTGTATAATTTTAACAGCATATTAAAAACCTGTTTTGACCAAATGACACTGTATGGATTTAGGCATACTTGGTTCTATTATATAAAGTGGCATAATAAAGTAATAGACTAGATAGTCTTCTTGTTACTCTTTATTTGTAGAACAAATATTATGTGTATTACGGAACAATTTTTGGGTTTATGCAAGTGGCATAATAGTGAGTGGCAGTAGGAGTGTAGGATGGAGGGAGGGAGGTTGGTTCTTCTAACAGACAATTAATAAAATTTACACATATGACATACCATACTACATGTTTTCTCTGTCTTATGGTCATCAGCCATAGAAGGTGATTGCCATGATAATTAGAAGCTGAGTCCTTTTGATCAGATTTGCTTCCAAAATCTGCATGGTTCTGTGGGCAATTTTTTGTAGAAATCCTTTCTGACGTAACCACTATAAATAATGACCTGTTTAACAGACCAGTGTTTATAGGTACCTTAGCAGTATGTTTAAATATTCACTAGAGGAAGAACTAGACCCATTTAAAGCAGTTTTAATATCCAAAATAGAGTGACATACTTTAAATCTTCTTCACAAAGAAGAAAGTGAACACAAATAGTGGGTTTCGTTTTGTTTTGTTGTTGTTGTTGTTTCTGGGTTTGAGTTTTGAAGTATGAACATCCTGATCTCTGTCCAGGTGAGCTTCCTTTACAGCAGTGTGCCATGCAGGAAGAGGTTTTTAGATAGGTAAATTGTCTGTATTCTTCCTCAGTTGAAGGCTTACTGAACTCGCTTTGCCTCTCCCATTCTTCATGCTTCTTATTGCAACTAGAATAATCTAAAGGGGTAATTCCACACATACTTTGAATTACTGAGATAATGCAGTACCTTAAGCTAAAGCGATTAATATCATAAAATATTTAAATAATAAAATACTGGACCCCAATGAGATTTTTCCTGTAATTTATTAGAAAACGATACTTGGCAAAGGAAAACTAAATCTAAGAAACATAATATTATTAAAACTTGATATTATACCATGTAAAAACTTTGCAGTATACTAATGCATACGTATCATGTAACGTATATACATTCAATTGATCCTAGCACCCAAGTCCCTCTTTGAATGGCTGATGAATATTCTAATCTAAACTGTTTTTATTTTCAGATTGAAAATCTACAGGAGCAACTTAGGGACAAAGACAAACAACTAACTAATCTAAAAGACAGAGTGAAGTCGTTGCAGACGGATTCTAGTAACACAGACACAGCACTAGCTACCTTAGAAGAAGCTCTATCAGAAAAGGTAATGTTTTCCAATGAAACAGCATTATGTGCTGCTCTTAAGGGTGAAGCGTGTCCAGAAAATATCTTTTTAAGTTGAGGTGATGCCAACTTAAAAATGGGCCTTGTCAGGAAAGCAGGAGCCTCTGCTCTGGTAGGATGAACAAGGAGTGGTTCTCATCTGATGAACTGAAACATGGCTTTCTGGTAAAGAACAATGCTCTTTTAAATTGGGATGGAGTAAATGGCCCAGGTGATGGGAAGTTTTTCTCTTAGTCAATAGGATGAGTGGTTGTGCCCTGAAAGAACTCAAAGGTGTGGACACCTGATTTAAAGATCATAGAGTTTAGGGTACTTTTACGACTTTGTGATCTTGATTATCCTGTTCTTCCGTCTGTTTAGCAAACCTTACTGAAGATCCAACAGCAGGTGACTGACCAACTGTTACCTTGGCTTGCTGTTAGCACTATTGGTTTCCTATACTTAGTTTATAAGAAACTGTATTTCATAAAAGAATGGAGTTTTTTTATTTTAAGAACTATATGCCTTTAATTTGAAATAACTACCAGAAGGGATAAATCTGGACTGTTTAAATTAGTGGCAACATTCCTACCAGTTTCAGTGACGTCAGGGTTTTTCTTTCAGTTAACTTTGAATACGAAGTAATCCAAGTGAATTTATATGCCAAAAAAAATTAGTACAAGTATCCACATTTTACAGCTCACAGATCTTTTAATATATATATATATATCACTTAAATGTGCACAGATGAATGCAAATAATTAAAGTATTATGTGCCATTCTGCAGTGTGTGATCCTATGAAGGTATTTATGACTGTATACGACTCCAAAGTGCCACTGTGGTGTTGGCACTAACACCTAAAATGCTACTGTTGAATTTTTGGTTTCTGTGTTTGATCACCTTTACTAACATTTGTTTGGTCAACAATAGTGAAAAAGTTGGAGTTACTGTTACTTCTGTGGCTTCATATGGATAAGCTTACAGCATTTATGCAGTAAAGAAAACGACATGCACTTTAAAATTTCACTGCTAATCTGGACACAGCACTCGCCAGTCTCACTGCATATGATTAAAAAAATGACACAAAGTACTTTATCTGTTTTTCCTTCATGTAAATGATCATTTCTGGATTAGTCAACATTGTCACTTGCCCAAAATACTAGTAGAGACAGCTGAGATTTTAAAGCCGCCCTTTAACCATGATGCTACGGTTGTCAATGTACAGAGCAGAGTGAGTTTCTCACTGCAAACTTGCCAGTTCTCCTGTGCGACTGAGCATGAAGTAGATTGTCAAAAGCCATTTGTATCCCATTTTCTGCCTCAGTTATATCTGCAGCACTTCAGAGAAAGCGCACTTATGCAATGCTTCTTAGCTGGGTAATTTACGAAGTTGCAATCTGTCTTCAATTGTAATGTTATTTCTCTCTTGAAAATATTAAATTCATGACAGTTTTCTAGGGTTCAGAGTTAGAAGCAGCTAGTGTGGAGGTATTGAATAGATCATGTATAGTCGCCTTCTCATTACCAGAAATACAAGATTAAGAGGTACTGGGTTAAAACCTAACCCAAATTAAAGAGTTGGTTTTGAGTCATTTTGTACTCCTACCATTCTAAAATCTTTTGAAATAAATGTAAACTCTTTAGTAAATGTAAAAGTTTGTATAATCTTGATGAAGTTCAGTGTGTATCTGAAAATAAAATATTCTATTAATGTCAGACATACAAATAGTAGTATTTTACTAAAACTCAGGATGTATTATTTTTCAGTATCCTAGTAAGGATTTGTCTGAGAGTTTGTTTAAAAATTGTGCTGTAAAATTTCTTTGGGTATATGATAACTTCTTGTGGCAACACTGGAGACCCTGATGGTATGAAAATTGTGTGTCAAGCTTTATCTGATTGATTTGATGGAGATTCAAAGTTTGAGAAATGATGCTAGTTTTAGTATTTTCAAAAATTAGATGCTTCTCTGAAATGTGTTTTTGCAGTTCATGTCAACTTCATTTGGAATTGAATGGATATATATGAACAGACACTTTTAAAAAGAATCAGTGCGATTAGTGGTTTTTCCAAGTGGAACTGATTAGAACTCACATGGGGTCTCTAAGATTGAATTCTGTGCAAAGTAGTCACTTTGCTTACATACAGTCAGCTGAGAATGGCATCTTTCCTGCAGTGTTTGCAGGCTACTCTGAGACACACCTACAATGAATCACAGAGTGCTTAGGGCTGGAAGGGATGTTTTCCTCTGCCAGAGACTTTTGTCTTTATGCAGCTGATGAAGGCAATGTTATCTATTGTAAGCCAATGCTTTTGAGAAGTTGCGTGAAGCTTAGTTATGGTGTGGTTTCTGGTGACTGTTTCAATCACTTATAGAGGGATTGTTGGAAGTTAGGTGGCAGTCTGTAAAGGGAAGTACTCAAGATGTTAGTGATATGCTTATCATTCTCTATTACTTAAAAAATGCTACTTTGTTACTGTTAGAAAAACATATACAGAATTATCAAATAATACCCTCTAAGAAATGAGGTTTATAACTTTTAAAAGTCAGTCCCAGTCACTCGGAAATCTTTTTACAGTTGAGGAATGATTAATATATTAGATTAAAAAAGGAGGAGAAAGGCAACACTGCAGAGTAGAATCAATATCGGCTTTTGAGAAACAGGGTAGTTAATCTTAGAGCATTAGACACAATGAAGAAGAAATTTCCAGGGTGAAAGCTTCCATCTCTATGATTTTCATTGTTCATTGTACAAAGGAATCATGCTCAATTTCATTCAAGGGTAGATTTCTCAATCTTAAGTGTAGTCTCTGGGACGTACTTTTATGTTGAAAGAAGCCAGCAGGCATCTTCTAGAAGTTCCAAATGAACTAGTACATCTAGCTTTCTGGTGGCTCCTGGCAGCTAAATACCTTGGCATTTTATACTTACATATGTGCGTCATTCCTATTTGAGTCCAGCATTCCAACTCACCCTGGTTGCCCTGAGTCAATAACCTTTCTTATCCGTATTCCTATCTGCAGTAACATTCTTAAGACCTACAGACTTTATTAATAGTTATTTACTTTCTCCACTGCAAATACTGGTAGAAAAATGGAATAGATTTTTGTCCAAATAGGAGAAAACAAGAACCCTTTAGTGACAAGTTTCTCATTAACAAGTGCATCAATATAAGTACTTTTATACATTTAAATTTGTAACACTCTCAAGAAAAGATGCTGCTGCTTTCATTCAAGGACACCTGGTTTCCATGGAAATAAACTGTTTGTTTTTTGTTTATTTGCTTTTAGTAGAAATTGTATCAGACCTACTTTGTAGCTGCATCATGTTTTCTACTCTGAGATTAGGTGAAATATTTGTCATTACCTTAATTCTTTGGCAATTCAATAGTTTTTAGAATTTTAATTTTAAAAATAATGAAGAAACTACTCCAAGAAGCTCTTTTAAAACAGAAATCTTATTTATTTATAGCAGCTTGGCTAACCACAATTCAATGAAATGGAATTTAATTGCTTTCCTTAGTTTCTATTGGAAGAAAAAACCATGATCATATGATATGAATGAATTATGAGGCTATTTTTAAAGTCCAAAACTCAAATGTTTGAATACTTATGTTTTTCCTTCATTGTTCTTGAAAATACTCAGATTGAGATTTTGGCTCTGAATTAGAAAATGTAGGTCCTTATTCTTCATGAAGATAGTTTTTTCCAAGTGTTTGTCTCTTTGATTTCTTTTTTCTGACCCAGTAACTGGTAACAATAAGTGAGAAAATTTTGTAGACATCATAAAACAGCATCACAATTCCCCAAAATGACTCCTTTTAATCTTTGTGTTTTCCTGGCAATATTACTGTTACAGTTTGTTCTCTTGCCAGGAATCAGAACCAAATCAGCACAACTTTAGTCACTTTTGAGTACATTTTAGAATTAAACTGAAAAAGGTATTAATTCACTCCTTTACCCCTAAGTTTGGATCCCCTCCTAAATACTGAAAACAGTTAACAACAATAAAGGTTACAATGCAATAAACAAAAAATAAGCTTAAAAATCACCTAGTTTGAAAATCACAATATGGAGAAGTGCTATCAGCTTCCTTGATGTTTTAACAAGAAACTTTTCAAAGAGTATCTCAGCTCTTGGACTGGCCAAAAGCAGTTCAAGAGGTTGCTTTCATGAAGCTGATATTTATAAAGTTGGTCCTACTGTAGCAGCGTACAGCAGATAAGCAATTGAGTATGTCTGATAATAGAGCTATATGCTGTGGCAATTCAGTTCCTGTTTCTGTGATAAAGTGCTTCTGCGATAAAAATTCTAAATAGATTAGACCTGTGAGGTCCTAGATTAGTGCATAAGGAAAGCTTGCCAATGCAAATAAGACTGAAACAAGAACACATTGTTGGGATTTCTGCAAGTTAGCTGTTAATCAAGTAAAACATGGTATATTAGGGCCTTTTAACACATTTTTGACATTTAGCCTTATGCAGCTGACAGATAAATTAGTTGTCTTTTGTGATTGACTGAGAAAAGAATTATACTGTTCATTAATAAGATGAAATAGTGTTATGTTTAATTCATTATAGATGAAAAAAATCATATAGGTAAATAAATCTTAAAGAGGGAAATGGTATAAAATTAAGCCTGAATATCACTAGGTGCATTCTGAATGGTTATTAAACTGTTCCACTTAGAGGAGGCTGGCATTCTAACACTAATATTCAAGGGATTAAGAATTTCTATTTTTTGTTACTCAGAATAACCTGAAGTACCCTGTAGAATCATAAAATGGTTTGGGTTGGAAGGAACCTTAAAGATCTTCTAGTTCCTACCCCCTGTCACAGTGGACACTTTTCACTAGTCCAGATTGCTCAAAGCCCCATCCAACCTGTCCTGAAATGCTTCCAGGGATGGGGCATCCACGGCTTCTCTGGGCAACCTGTGTCAGTGCCTCACCACCCTCACAGTAAAGATCTTCTTCCTAATCAAAATCCCTCCTCGTTCAGTTTAAAGCCATTTACCCCTTGTCCTATCACTACATATTCTTGTAAATAGTCCCTCTCCAGCATTCTTGTAGACCTTTTTAAGTACAGGAAGACTGGTCTAAGCTCTTCCCAGAGCCTTCTCTTCTTCAGACTGAACAACTTATCCACTGTGTTGTACAGGACAGTGTCAATTGCTTTGCACAAGTCCAGGTAGAGGACATTAGTCACTCTTCTCTTATACACCACTGCTGTAACCCTGTTGTAGAAGGCCACCACATTTGTCAGGCGTGGACTGTTGTCAGGCGTGGACTGTCCTTAGTGAGGCCTTTTTGGCTGTCACCAATCACCTCCTTATTTTCCACGTACTTAGCATAGCATAGGATCTGCTCCATGATCTTGCCGAGTACTGAAGTGAGACTGACTGGCCTGTAGTTCCACGGCTCTTCCCTTTCTCTGTTTTAAAATATATCATCCCTTTCTCACATAATCTATATTAGCAAAACCAGCAAATAGTAACATTAAAAAAAAAAAAAGAAAAGGTAATACATTTGCTGATTTATCATTTGTGTAGTACTCAACAGTGTTGTTGTTGAAGGACTTTCATTCTGTATGAGCACATTTCTATCTGAAATCCTGCAAGGAATGATTCAAAGGGAGATTTTGCCATTGGGCCGAATGAAGGCAGAAGTAGTCTACATCTGCAGTTCCAGAGGTCTCAGTGTATAGACAGCTGATACTGTCTTGGAAATAGATTTAATTTTAGGTAGCCTGCTAACCTTAGTTTTGACCATCTCTTTTACTAAATGCAAACTGGAACATTCTGTGTCATCAATATGTGTTTCTTTCTGAATGAAGTAAGTACGAATGTGAGTTTTATATGAGTAGGCAACACTGTTTTCTGTGAAGATTCTTACAGTAAAACTAGTTTCCTAATATGTATGTTCAGGTAGGTAGATTGGGAAAAGGAGTCCCTGATGTCAGGGGAATGCTAAATGCAAAAGGAAAGTAGCATTATGAAACTTTTGAAAAAGTTTTCCTTAGGAACTGGGCAGCAAAAAATAACTATACCAATATTCTTATTCCAACACAGTATAGTGCTCATCGTTTTTCAATGTCTGAAAGATTCAAAGTACGTTTATTTACAGACTTAAATATAACTACTTATTTGGTAAAGATCTTTATCTGATTGTTTAAAAACCTTCTAATAGCATTAAATGTTAATAATTTATTATTATTTATATTTAGTATTATAAAATACTTCATGTAATGTATTTTTTTAAAGTGGTGACTATTGGTGGAACAAATTCTTACAGCTGGAAGCCAGTATTATGTAAGTGGAAGTTAGCTGTCTAATAAGTAACCACAAACGTTAGAGACTTTCCAAATATGCAAAGATCAATATTAGAAGCTGTGTTTTTCTATTTCTTGAATTGGCACTTAAATTTTTTCAGGGAAATGCATGACCGATTAAAGTCAAATTGATTTAAGTGTAATCAAGTTTTAAATCAGTAATTTAAAATAACAGAATATTTATTCAGTTCATACAGAAACTGGTTATCAGTTTTAAACTTTATACATGCAGATAAAACAGCATTTAAATGATAGGAGAGTGAATAAATGGGAGATCTTCAACAGATGCTTTTTGGGAGGCAGATACATATATAAGATGAAAATAAAAAGGAACACCTACAGAAAACTTCCCTGTCTTCTGAAAACACTGTGTTCCATTTCCTAGTAAACAGTACTGCAGAACCAAGACTTCTGGAGATTGTCTAGTCCAACCCAGCTGCTCAAAGCAGAGTCAACTGGAGCAGTTTGTCCAGGATCTTGTCCATCTGGGTTTTGAGTATCTCCAAGGTTGGAGACTGCTGGGATGAAAATCACAGCCTTGAGTTTAAGCTCCTTTTATGCATGTAGGTGTTGACAGTTGGCTTTTTGCAAAATATGCCTTGAGCATTAAAAACCACAGAAGCAGTCTTCAGAAGATCTTCTAGGGCTTGAAGAAACATCACATCCTGTGTATGGAGAAAACAAATGAGTGACCAGGACTGTCTGAATGATATATACTTTTTAATGGTGCTGTTACTACTTCAGCTAACTTTGATAGTGAATTAGTATTTTTCTTTGTCATAATGACTAAGTTTATTACAAATCAGAATGGGACGTACAACTGCTTAAATGTTGCTTGCATTGTAGTGTTTGTTGAGGTATAATAACCACAGGTGAAGGTATATTGATACTCTCAGGTAAAGGTAAACATTAAGTGTAGTAACACATATATATATGTGTCTGTGTGTATGTATATATACATATATGTATGTAGTGCGTGTCTGTGTATATATGACAGTATAAGGAATTATGAACAGAAGGAATTAGCATGAGCTTTTTCTCTCTTTCTAATATTAGTTTTCAATCATGTTGACCAGTTCTGTGAAACAGTATTTTAAAGTATTGATCCCAATCAAGCTCCATTTTGGAGATTTCAAGCATGCGTACAACAGGACTTGAAGAGGATCTAGGAGCATGTTGGTGGTGTTACCTGAGCCATGCCACTGCTAGTGTAGAACTTCATCAGTCAGGATGCATTTTTTTCCCATGTAGGTTTAACTTAGCTAAATGATGTTGCTTCCACTGCCCTGCTGACTACTCCTTCCAAAACGATACTAGTAATTCCCCTGATACTCTGCTTAAATTGACCTATTCCTGATTCAAATGCAGTTCTAGTGGTTATTTTATTTTACCCTAAATATTTCTCTTTGATTGTTACTTGCATTTTTCAAGTATTGGTAGAATGTGATTTTGAAGAATGTAGTCAAAGTGTAACAAAACCATACTACTGCATCTGCTTTTTACATTTCACCCTTTGAATTCATCACCCAATTCTTGAGTGGTGATTTTCAGCAGTTAGAATAGTAATTGGGATTCAGCAGTATATTTAAAAACATGGCTGAGTTTAAATGTGTGTAGGATTACAGTTAATTAGACAGAGAAAGATCTTCCTTTGTATGACATAAGTTGCATCAGGGTAGTGTTTCTGTGTTTTGGGTGGCTTTTCCCTCCCAGCCCCTTTTTTTCCTCTCAAAATGTAGGACATGTAAATTGTAAGTTACTGATGGTTAGCAAGTGATTGATTTCTAATTAGATTTGGAACCTTAAAAACTTTTTGCAAGCACTGTAGAGTCAACTAGCATTCCAAAAACATAGCCAAATTCAAGCTGAGTAAACCAGTCATGACTTCTCTATTTTGAACTGTTATTCAAGAATTCAATCACTTATGAATACAGGAGATACATTAATGAAATTAATCACTTTTCATATCTGTCACATAATCAAACATATTGATATCAGTATAGATATTTAATGAAATTTCTGTACTATGTTACTCTTACCAAGTATTATAAACTTCGATCTAATGCTTTTGAAATCAGGGGAAATCTTGCATTGACTTTAATACCATTAATTCCATTCATACTCTGCTTCTGAAGGTTGATTTTTCTAAGTGCTACTTAATGTAAAGAAATTTTATTCTCTGTTTTCTGAAATGATTCCCAACTTTTCCATTTTGCAATTCATTCCCTTGTTAGGAAAGAATAATAGAGCGCTTGAAGGAGCAAAGAGAGCGAGATGACAGAGAAAGACTTGAAGAAATTGAATCTTATAAAAAAGAAAACAAAGACCTGAAGGAGAAAGTTAATGCTTTACAAGCTGAACTGACAGAAAAAGAGGTCAGTCTTTCCAGTAAAATCTATGCTTTTCTATCTGTGTTATTGTGATGAAAGAAAGTGCATTAGGATTACTCTTGAATTGTTTTAAGTACTGAAATTCTGCCACTTTGGTGGTCAGCTTCTGGACTGCTATTTTCTTAAGCATTCTTCATAATACTTTTGTATATAAAATATTGAATTAGTTCTTGCATAGTTGTGTGTCATTATCTCTACTTTCTTCCTTTATATAAGCCTCCAGTAGTCTCAAATATTCCATTGTTGCTCCTGTTCTTATTTGTCAGTTAGATCAATAGACTTCAAATTCATTGTACCTCCAGAATATAATGTCAGCTTGTCTGTATTACAAGTGTTTCTGTGTTTCACTCCACGCCAGCTCCTGTGGTTCCAATTGGTTGTATTCTCAAAATAGTGTCTGTTGCTATAAATGCTTATCTCTGTGTCAACTCTTTTTGGGGAAGGGGAGGGGGAACAGGATCCAAGTGATCACTAAGATGGCAATAAGGTAGTGTCCTGGTGACTAGGAATTAACTGTTTACTCTTGGTCATTTTTCAGTCTAGTTTAATCGATCTCAAAGAACATGCATCTTCATTGGCATCAGCAGGGCTGAAAAGAGACTCCAAACTTAAGTCTTTAGAAATAGCCATAGAACAAAAGAAAGAAGAGTGTAGTAAGTTGGAAGCACAGTTGAAAAAGGTAAGTTCCATCTTAAAACAAACAAAAACCAACAACAATCAGAAAAAAGTCTTCTGGAGTATATCTAAAATCTAGCCATCTTACACTATTTGCTGATGCTTGCATCAAATACTGCTAACTTTTTCTTACGAGGTTTCTATCAAAGCCACTAGTGAGCCTCAGAAATTATCCTGAATACCTATATGAGAAGCTGCTACAAATAGATGAACTGGGAGTAGGACACTCAAGGTAAAGTAGAAGGACAGAAAGAAATTATTAAGCCAGTAATTTGTATGTATGCGAGTTTATAGAGCTTTTAGAAGTAGACTGAAATGTTTGTAGCATGGGAAAAAATTAAAGGAATGCTGTACTTCCTAATAAAAAGAATTCTGCTTCCAAAACTGAAACTCTAGCTAGGTTTTATTTTGGCATTTTTTTTGGCTTTGTTGGTGAACACGTGTTTGTGATAATTAAGCAAAATAATGCATAGTTTATTTCAGCTAGCAATTCAGTATTTCTATTCAGCAAGTAGTGGAAGCAAGCATTTAAAGGAAAACATACAAATCCTATATTTTATAACATGGTTTTGTTTAAATTGATGTGTCCAAATAGTTTTTGCTTAATGGATTTGCAAGTTTGTTGATGCCTTTTCTACCATACCTTGTTTCTTTGACCTGTTTCTATGTCATTTGGTAACGTCTGCTCTCATTGTTCGAGCTCTCATAACGTATTTGATGAGTTTAGGCATTATGTTTGCCCACTGCAATTCATGATTAAGTGTATGTCAAACTTTATTTTTTTTTTATATTGATATCTAATGTTTCATTTTCTAGAAAAGAACATTTATTTGTTCTATGAAGGTTACCACTGTTAGGATAATATTCTGACACTCTCTTTACCCAGGTTGAGTAATATCCTGCGCTGTGTTTAAGTATTGTTTCAATAGCCTTATGCATGAAGATGTTGCAAAGTATGAAGGATATCAGGGCGTAATCTTATACTTCTATTATTTTTTAATTAAGAATGAATATGTGCAATTAGATGCCTGTGTTACATGTTTGGTTGTGGAGGGGAAGGAAGGGAATCTTTATCAATAAACATACACAAAAGCTTTTAATGGAAACACAGATACTTCAGATGTTTGATAGCTTGTAAATGCTATTGATGTCAGAATGAAAATATCCAAAGAAGCTATTTCTTGGGAAGTCCTTTGTTTTCTTTTGTTAGAAAATCTGTTTGTTTACTTTGCACTTCACTACAAATATTTTTCATTACTATCTGAAATATTTTATTTTCTTCATTTAAAATAGTTATAAAGCCCCTGAAAGCACAGATCCCTTAAAAAAAAATAAAATCAAAATCCTCTTTAAGAACTTGAAATCCTAAGTCAATCTTTTATGACCGTACATATAAACACATCATAGAGTCATGGAAAAATAAGCACTTACAAAAGTCACAGAGTGTCTGGCCGTCTTTCGCATAAAAAGGGAGTATGTTCCCTGTGTATAAATACAAAGGATTATTAAATGAAAGTTGAAAACATAATAGTTTTATTATATCATAAATGCAGCATAAAGCCCCAATGGAAATTCACCCAACATTTGTAGGAGACCAGGTATTTCCACAATAAAATGTAGTTACAACCTTCTTTGTGGGCATGTTTAGTTGAACAGAAATAGTGACTGTTAATGATAGTAGACTCCAAACAGTAATTTTCAATTCACATTTTCTCTAATAAAATACTTTATGTTCAAACCTGTAAATATCCTGTGTTAAAAGTAATTGGTCCCCAGAAAACAACCTTCAGCATGTTTTCACTTCTTAGGAAACTAACTGAAACAGAAATCTGGGTTATTCCTGCATATGTCTGACTTAGAGTAGGAGGGAACATCAACATAGTTCGGAGTAAATTAACCTGCATGTCCCTTAAGTGTGCTTATGTACGAACATTAACCACTACGGAAGGTAGAAGGAATGGGTACAGTTTATATCTCATTTCCAGAAGTGACTCTAAGGGGTTGTCCGTTATGTTGAGAAATTTGGATGCAGCTTACCCATTACTCCATTCTAGAAATACTGTAGAGAAGGCACTTTTCATTGTGGTATTATAGAGTCATTATAGTTTAATGTTTATATATGTTTTAACAAATTAACTAATAAATATGAATATAGTATTCCACATACATTTGCTAGGACTTAGTTTTCCGTGAGAACTGATGGTAATAAGTACTACGCCTGAAAGAAAACGTGTGCAGGGAACAAGTCCAAACATAATCTGCAAATTAAAGCAAAAAACCAAAACAAACAACCCACAACTTTGTTTAAAAGTTTGTCTTCCCTTGTTTCCTTCCTGTTTTGGGAGAGAATCAGATTCATTTATTGATAATAAAGATCATTTTGATTGGTCTGATTAGACCCAAATATTTTTCAGTATCACATAACTAGATTGTTTCCATTTCATCAGAAGAAAATATGCTGATTCTAAACCCACTCTTTTAATTTTATAGAGTAGATACATTTCAAAAAGTGATAAATAGGATATTCATAAAGAATAATTATTCACGTGACTGCTGTATTTTTGTACGCAAAATAATGTTTAAAACCATAGATGTGCTTATTAAACTTTGTGACAAAGATTATGGGTTGAAATTCATAAAAGTAGAAAAAAAAATCATAAACCCCATAAGAATGGTCAATGTGTTTTGGGGGTTTTTTTGGGCCAAAATACCAGAGAGTTTTTGTTCACTTACTTTGTGTTGCTACTACTGAAAGAACAGCAG